TTCTTATGTAGGTGGCAGAAAAAGCCATTCAGAAAACACATCAGAATCAACTTCCGCTAGGGTAAGCAGAAAAGGAATTTGTCACAGATCTTCAAGAAGACCCAAGAGCCTGGCTCAGAAGTTACAGTAGACCCCAAAGGACTTCTGTAGCTGCTTGAACAACTGAGACATTGGAGTTCTGGAAGCCCTGCCGCTGCCTCCTGAAGTGCCAGGTGCCTTCATCACACAGCTCTGTGGAACAGGGGCCTGGCCTCGTGGGTTCAGAATCTGATCTTGATAGGTTGTAGGAACCCAGGTCACATGCTGGCCCCTTAACTGCAGGAGTCAGGACACAATTCTTTTGCTTTCTACCACAGTAAATACAGGACCCCAGTGTAGGAAGTTGTCAAGACATATGGAAGATGTTAAAGAGATTAGGGTGAACTACAGATGGCGGATGTCTGCTGTACCTCCCCATGGGGCGTTTTAATGGATAGCTTATTAGGGTTTTCAGCAAGACCTTTGATTCACCTGTGCCTTTCATCTCTGATACCCACTTAGCAGCACATGCTGTTACCTATTCTCTTTGAAATAGAGGCTTCTTTCTTTCTTGTCCCTTTCCAATCCTGCCACACCTAGCTCAGGCCTACTTATGTCACTGTGACAGCTTCCTGGCTGATTTCTCTTCCTCTATTCTATTCCTTCCCAAGTAAATGTTAGTCCTTGTCTTTATGGTAGTTGTTATCTTCCTGAAAGCATCAATTTAGCCAAGGTTCTGCCGTGGGGCCACGAGACGTTTCTTCAAGGACTCTGTTACTAGAATTCACCGTACACCTCCATTTGGTGTTCTGGGGCCTTTCAGAATAGCTTCATAAGACCAGGAGGCTGAGAGGTTGAGCACAGTTGCAGGCTCATGTCTTCAGCCTGCTTGGGAGCCCTGCATGTTTTTGTCTGCCTTGGGGTTACTTTTATGAAGCCTGTACCATGGGTGCCATATTGCTGGATAATGAAGAGTGGAAAGAAAATTAATCCCGAATGAGTGACTCAGTTCCATGATAATGTTGCTAATTTTAATTTATATCGGGAATAGCAAAGCTGTTGTCCAGCATTTTATTAATAAATCTCTAAACAGCCTTGAAATCTTGTTCCTGTTAAGTAAATTTTAATAATAGGCTTCACCTTGTGTCCTGAATTAGGAGGCAGTTGAGAAAAAGTATATTAGAACCCTTTGCTATACTTATTTTGCCAAGTCCAGGTATTTGTTGACTGGAAGGGCCAGGGTTCCGAGGGATAAATGAAAACATGGTTCTGTCTACTCGCATGCTGGTGTTGGCTGTACTGCATTGCCTATACCATCCCAACTCACTAGTTTCCTTGGATACAAGTCTAAGCTTCAGCTAATTGAACAAGTTATTTTCTGTGTCTTTAGAGTATAATGATAATTTTATATGTGTACTCTCACACTCATGAAAAAAAGTTCTTGACTATTGTGATAAAATTGTTTTTATATTTCCCCTCCCTTCCAGTTTATACAAAATAACATGTTTGTAATAGAATATTTGAAAGTACCCACACAGAAGGACCAGATACAACAAAGAGGAACTATCTGCATTTTCCCTTCCCCAGAGACTCAAACCACTTGTGACATCTTGTGTTTTCATTCTGTGGCCTTTATGTGTGTATATTTCAATATTTGGAATAATGATTATGGATGTGGCTTTGTACCCTCCTTTTCACTCATCTGTGGTTGAGCATGTCCCCTGCCATTTAATATTCTTTGAAAATGTATCTTTTTAATAAACAGCTCTGTTGAGATATAATTTGCACACCAGAGTTTACCTGTTTACCAACAGAATTCATTGACAGTTGTGCAAACTGAAAATATGTTTTTAAAACTACATAGAATTCTGTCATATAACACTATTTAATTGTGCCCTTCAACTTGGAAATTTAGACTTCAGTAGAATACATTTTACCATATTTAGATTTTATATTGTTGAATTATTTGGAGTTAATTTATAAGTGCATGTATCTTCACATTTTCCCTCCATGATAAATATGTTTGTATGTATGTATTTATTTAATTTTAGAGGTGGCATTTCACTCTCTGAAGTGCAGTAGCATGATTATATGTAGCCTCTAACTTCTGGGCTTAAGCGATCCTTTGCCTCAGCCTCCAAGTAGCTTAGCTGGGACTACAGGTGTGTGCCATCATGCATGGCTAAGGTTTACATTTTTTTGTAGCGATGGCATCTAACTAGGTTGCCCAGACTGGTCTCTAACTCCTGATCTCAAGTGATACTCCTGCCTCAGTCTCCTGAGTTGCTGGGATTACAGATGTGTGTCACTGTACCCAGCCCACAAATATTTTTATTTTGAGTTTTTAGGTAAGGAGATTGAATAATTGTTTCTGTTTGTTTGTTTAATTTCACCCCATCAGGTTTTACAAGAAGAGACAAAGTCAAGATCCTTGGTTCCTCACTCAGGCCTTGGTGGGTATGGACTGGAGGCACATACTAGGTTCAAGAATAGAGGCAGTTCATTTAAAGAACCCCAGGCACAGTTGCCCGGATTCACAAAGCTGGCATCAGGACTGACCATTTGTTCATGAAAGAACTACAAAAGGATTCAGTATAGAATTCCTTTAGGAAGGGAATTTCTTTAGTTTGTTTAAGGCAGTTATAATTTCTATAATAAACTTTTCTTTCCCAGAAAAAAACTTAACACCTTTGAAGTGAGCTATAATGCTTCCTTTTATAAAACATATTTTGTATGCAGTTCTTATTTTGACTTTCAGAAATCGAAATTTCTCAAGGGTCTGAGATGTTGGAACTAACTCACACCAGGTCTCCTGCACAATCTCTGTGGTTCAGGAAGGGGTAAGGAAGGTGAGAACTGCAGCACATGTTTGAGAAGGTTGCAGTGAGTGAGACCTCCTCGTTGGTGAGTTCGAAAATTCACCTCTTCTCACTTCCTTTTGATTAGTGTGTTTTACAGGGGTGGAGGCAGGTTTTCAAAGCAGTGAAATATAGACAGAATTTGGCCTAAAAAAAGAGTACTTAAACCTAAATGAGGCTTCTGGCTCAAGGTAACAAACTGAGCTCATAAATTCAAGAACCTCTCCCCTCATTTCCAATTCCCATTGAAAGGAACAAAGGAATATAAAAATAGGGAATCTCCCAAGTTAACACAGTTGTTGCTGGTGATGATGGTCTTGTTTTGTATTACAGGTTTTGGTTGCAAAAATTCAGTTTGATGTGCTTCTTGCCAGGCTATTGTTCACTTCTTTCTTTGGGATGGGAGTTGGGGTAAACTCTTTTCTTCTTTTGAACAATTCAGTTACCCGCCTCCCCCTTTCCTCCGAGGTACCTCTACTCTCTTTGCTATACGTTCCAGTTTCTGACTTTCTTTATAAATTATGCATTTGTATAGCTTCAGCTTTGCTCAAAGTTTTTGCTTGATGCTCTGAATCCTAATGAGCGCTCCTGGGAATTGGGTGACTCTGCCTGCAGACAAACCTGGGAGTGGTGAATGTTGTGACAAGGTGGCCAACCCCAGGCTTGCTTTCTGTTTATTTTCCACAACTCTCCGTGGTTGATGTCGAGAGGAGTAAGGGTGAGCCACATTCACTGTGGGGAGCAGAAGACAGTGATTGGGCAGTTTAGTGTGTATAATTCCTTCATTTTACTCAGTAACTTAGATGTTATTGCATGTCAGCCTGTGAATTTTTCAAGTTTGGTTGTGCCACTGGATCACCTGTATCTTTAAAAAAATGTGGTTTTATCAAATCAGTTAAGTAAAAGACTCCAGTAAAGCCAGGTGCGGTGGCTCAAGCCTGTAATCCAGCACTTTGGTAGGCCGAGGCAAGTGGATTGCCTGAGATTAGGGATTCAAGACCAGCCTGGGCAACTTGGTGAGTCCTCGTCTCTATAATAAATCAAAAAATTACCTGGCTGTGGTGGCATGCTCCTGTAGTTTCAGCTGCTTGGAAGGCTGAGGCAGGAGGATTGCCTGAGCACAGCTGGTTGAGGCTGTGGTGGCTGTGAGCAGCATGCCACTCTACTCCAACCTGGGCAACAGAGTGAGACTCTGGCTCAAAAAAAAAAAAAAAAACTCCAGTAAAGAAATCCCCAGTGTTTTGATTTGCACTCTTTGAAGGTTGACTGACAGGCACTAATATATTTTTCACCAATGAGGTGACATGCACTTGAATAACATAGGCTTTTGAGTAGGGGTGATCTGATCTGCAGGCCCTATGTGCAAGTCTGACATCAGAGAACTCTGAACACTGGAATATTTTCACAACTCATTTGGCTGCAAAACTTAGTTTGAACTTGGGTGAGACTTGATACTCTTTATTGATTCCATAGAGAGTGTAACTTTATGCATTTCACTGTGGAAATAATAAGTTTTGAATACTGGGTGATGTTCCAGACCCCCTTGCTTGTGTTATATGAGATAGGGCATAGAGACCTTATTATCCTTTCTCAAATCTGAACAGTTCTGAATTTCAAAACCCATCTGGCACCAAGTGATTGCAAAGGAAACTTCCCAGGCTGCTATGATACCGCCATGGCACAGAACCCCAAGAAGTATGGTCTAGCCTTTAAGGGGTGCTTCCAGGGTGGAGGAAGAGACCAGTCATGAGTCAGAACTTTGGATCTTAACACCTAAGAGGCCATCTCCATACACACCCCCTTGCTTTAAGGATAATGAAGTTGTTCAATGTCCAAGGTCATACATTGTTGGTGGTTACTTTAACGTTTTGTAGTTTCTCAAAATGATATTCTTTTCAAATTCAAAATTAACCTCTGGGGATATAACTATGTCATCTTAAATTATATTGCATTGGAAAGAAACGTTTTAAAGTTAAAAAAAACTATTTTATGTACTATTATGAAATTTTTGAGCCGGGCTCGGTGGCTCAGCCTGTAATCCCGCACCTTGGGAAGCTGAGGTGAGTGGATTGCCTGAGTCCACGGGTTCGAGACACCTGGGCAACTTGGTAGACCTCATCTCTACAATTAGGAAAAAAAAAAATTAGCTGGGCGTGGTAGCATGCACCTGTGGTTCCAGCTACTTGGAAGGCTGAGGCAGAAGAATCGCTGGAGCCCAGCAGGTCGAGGCTGCGGTAGCCGGGAGTGGCTACTGCACTCCAGTCTGGGTGACTGAGTGAGACTCCAACTATCAAAAAAAAAAAAAAGAAAGAAAGAAATTTTGGCACATTACATCTGATAGCCCTTACATTGTTAAAATTCTATAACTGTGTTATTTAAAAACATGAATCTAGATTTTTTGGAATGAGGCTGCTATATAAATGAAAATAAAATACCAAAATGATATTTTAGGTATAGCTAAGAATTTTAAACTTACTGGATTTGAAATTTTAGGCTAACACCATTAAAATTTGCAGAGGAGCAAGAATTATTTGATTGGCTTAAAGATATTTACTAGTAATGTCTTTGCCCAATTTTGGAATTAAATTGGTAGCTAGATATTAGAGCAAATATTATTTCATCTCTCTAGTTCATGTGTCAATGTAGTCTCAAGGTGTTGTCTTAAAAAGTATAATGCAAGATGTAGGTTTAGAGATGTATTGGATAAGCAAGGGTGAGTCAAATTAATTTTTTTCTTGTCTTCATTTCTATAGTGTAGTTAATTTCACACCTTCCGATGAGGGCCATGACCTCCTGTTGCTGACCTTTAAAGCAGTAAAAGAGAAATTGTTGTTCTAGGTAACGTTTGGTGAGTCAGAAAGATGGCACTTGTTGACAGACAGAGGTGAAGCCCCTTAGCCATCCACGGGACTAAATAATAATTGGCTTCTGTTAGTATTTCTGCCTTAGGGACTCAAAAATCTTTAGAGATAACTAACTCAGAACTTATTTATTTTACTGAAAATTCTTTATTTTAAATTTATGAACTGCGGTTGTAGAGATGAAGGGAATGTAACTTGTCTAGAATGACTGCTGAGGTAATAGAAACAAGAATAAAGTGAGAGATGTTGGGAATGCTTGCTCAGTGCCCTGCGTCATCCTCTACCACCCTACCTGCCCCCCCCCCCCAGCCCTAGGATACAGACATCCCAACAGCAGAGCCTTTTCTTTCTGGGAGCTGGCTCTAATCCTGGCCCCTTCACTCGCTAGCTCCCTGAACTTGCACCAGTTCCTCACTCCCTAGATGCCTTGGTGGTGTGGGAACACTACCACCTAGTTCATGGCCCTTTAGTGAAGGATAAAGTGTTGTGTGAGCTTAAACTGCATGGCACAGTGCCTGCTAGGAGCAAGTACTTAACAAATGGAGACCATTATCGACCACAAGGGCTGAGACTGAGCCCAAAACCTGACTGCAAACTTCCTTGGGGTAAGAGGAGAAGATATGGTGTTACTGAGACGCATTAGCTCAGAAAAAGAGCTCTGCTTCCTTTCTCCCGGGTGCGCCAGGAATGCGGATGCTGGGGAGAAAGCACTGCAGGCCAGCTCCAGGGCAGTTGACTGTGGCACTTGGCTTGAGAAGCAGTGGGGGTGTTGGCATCTCTTAGAATATGCCTCTAAGTGTTGTTTTTTCTGCTGGATTTTGTGACAGGCGCCTGACATCAGTTTAAGGGAATTCTCTTTGCAGATTAAGGACAAAATAAGAAACCAGCTGAGAACCAGTGAAGCTGTGGTGAGAACACATGGTCTGTTTTGAAAATTAGGGAACCTGGTCCATATAAATTATTTTTTCCGTGAAAGGTTTCCCTTCCCCTTAGAGGGGCCCCTGCAGATGTCTGTAGGTAAGACCACCCTTTTCCTTAGGAAGCAACTTGGAACTTGCTCCAGGGTTTGAATCAATGCCTCGCGGAGACCTTAAAGTTCCATATTACAGAGCATGAAAGAAACACCTTTGATTTAAATCTGTTGTAGGGCAGGTGTTCACAGTTACTCACCATGTCTATAGGAAGACCATGAGAATGTTTACACAAAATACCCAGTTTGAAGTAGCTCATCCTCAAAGACTGAGTTTGCTATAAAGTAATTGATTAGATGCATGAGATTATTGATACTGATCACTCAAATATTGAAAAATGACTAACAACTACAGTTACTTTTATTGTTCTCTGATTGATTTTCAGCCTTTTCTCCTGATAGTAGGTAAAGGGACCATTTGCCTCTTATGGTTCATAATGGAAGATTCTGGTACATTTCTATGGGAAGATGATAATTGTTTTCAGTATTTCTATGGAGGCAGAGGTGCAGTTCCTTTAGAAAGTGATATCATTGATAAATACTTTTTGTTAAGTGTTGGAAGAGGAAGAACTAAAATACTTCCTTTTCCCCCACATCCATACAACTTTAAAGTCTGTTTTCAAGAAAGGAATTTTATCTTGATATAATAAGATCAGTAGCCATCATCATGCATAATGATGAAACATTTATGCAAATCTCATTAAAATCTAGTACAAAGATCTCCTCTCTCATCCTTTTGTGATTATTAATAGCATTAATTTAGAAGTTCTGGTCAGTGCGCTAAGACCTCAAACAGAAACAAGAAGAATGATGTATTGGAAAGAATGAGACCCATCATTGCTCATAGACAGTATAATTGTGTATTTACAAAACCAGAAGAGAACCACCAAAAAACAATTATACTTGGTTAGGAATTCAGTTAAGTGATTAAGCATTTTTCTAATATATCAGCAGTTGATAAGAAACTGTTATGGGAAAATACATGTATTTTTCCCAAATACTCATGAAATAGCTAGAAATAATCTTTTACTTAAAAAAAAACTTACAAAAATGTTTGTATATTTTTATTGGTACATAATAGTTATATTTTTGTGGGTATGTGTGCTAATTTGATACACACATATAATCAAATTGCTTAATTGGGATTTATGTAATATGTATATGTTGTATACTCATGTTTACATTTATATCACATATTTATCTCTTTTTAGCACTAGAAACATTCGAATTATTCTCTCTTAACTATTTTAAAAATATTTATTTATTTATTTAGGGATAGCCTCTTACTGTGTTGACCTATACTGGAGTATAGTGGCTATTCATAGGTTTAGTCATAGCTCACTGCAGCCTTGAACTCCTGGCCTCAAGCAATTCCCCTGCCTCTACTTGCCAAGAACTTTGTGACTACAGGCATGCACCACCATGCCTAGCTCTCTTCTAGCTGTTGGAAATATACAGTCAATTAATGTTAACTACAGTCACCCTATTGATTTATTGAATACCAGGTCTTAGGTATAATCTTAATAAGAAATGAACAGGACTTATTGGTGAAGAAAACTATAAAAAAACTACTGAGGAAAGTTAAAAGGATATTTCAATAAATAGAGAAACATATTCTGTGTAGAATTTAGAATATTATGAGGACGTTACTTCTTGCCAAATTCAACTTACATGTTCAATATAGTTTTAATAAAAATCTCAACAGGATTAAAAAATTGAATAATTGATTAATTTGAAAAAATAGATGAATATAAGTAGCTAAATAAAGCTTAACATTATTTTTGTGGATAAAAAATGGACCCTTCAAAGTATTGTGAAATGTAAAGGTATATTATTTAAATTAATGTGATACTAATAAAAGTATTGGTTAGTATGTTAATAGGATGAATTTGACTACCCAGAAATAGAATTTTGTCTATATGAGGATATATGCCAAATGAGTCCCTGTATACCTGTGAGTTTGGGGGAGATTATTTAACAGGATTGGCACAATTGGCTAGTATTTTGAGAAAAAAAATGAATTCTCATCTTGTATCATATAGCTAAATAACATCCAGATGGCTTAAAGGGCCAAATTTAAAACAAAAACAGAAACACAAGAACAAAATAATGTATTGACTCATTCAGCAAATAGCACCTGTTCAGTGCCAGGTTTTTGCTCAAATGAGTTGACCCAGGTTCTTGTGGAGCCTCTGGTCCACTGAGGAGTGTAGACAGGCTTGAGCTTTGCCAGGAGGAAAGCACAGATGTAATTGTAGTGTTTACCAGATGGCTCTACCCTGATCAGGTGTTTGGGGAGTATGTTGAGGGGTGTTCAGAGAAGGCCTTTCTGAGAAATTGATCTTTAAACTGAGATCTGAGGAGAGAGAGCAGGGCAGGTGACACTGACTGAGGGGAGCTCAGCCAGAGGGAACTAAGGGTCTTAGGGCCAAGAGCTTAGCGCAGGCATGCTGAATGGCCTGAAGTGGAAGTGTAAGTATGAATAGGTAGCCCACAAAAGATCAGAGATACAAATAATGAATACATAGTGGAAAAAAAAAGAATGCAGACTAAATCAACGTGACAAATTTTCTTATGAAATAATCGATCAATGATTTAAAATAACGAGAAGAGCAATAATCTGGTGGGAGTGTGAATTTGGGCAACTTATTTTGCAAAGGAATTTGGCAGAACATATCAAGTGCTTTAAAATGTTTATATCAAGCCATGTGCGGTGGCTAACGCCTATAATCCCAGCACTGTGGAAAGCTGAGGCGAGAGGATTGCCTGAGCCCAGGAGTTCAAGACCAGTCTGGGCAACTTGGCGAGACCTTGTCTCTACAATAAATCAAAAAATTAGCCGGGCGTGGTGGCATGTACCTGTAGTTCCAGCTACTTGGAAGACTGAGGCAGGAGGATCGCCTGAGCCCAGCAGGTTGAGGCTGCAGTGACTGTGAGCATGCTACTGCACTCCAGCCTGGGCGACATAGTGAGACTCAGGCTCAAAAAAACCCAACAAAACAAGCCGGGCTCAGTGGCTCAGCCTGTAATCCCATGCCTTTGGGAGGCTGAGGTGAGTGAATTGCCTGGGCAGCGAGACCTCATCTCTACAATAAATCAAAAAATCAGCCGGGCGTGGTAGTGCATGCCTGTAATTCCGGCTACTCGGAAGACTGAGGCGGAAGGATCGCCGGAGCCCATCAGGTGAGGCTGCGGTGGCCGGGAGCGTGCCACTGCACTTCAGTCTGGGCGACCGAGTGAGACTCCAACTCAAAAAACAAAAAACAAAGTCTATATTTATCTTTTGATCAGATAATTCTAGTTCTGGAGATTTATCATAAGGAAATCCAAGAAAAGTCACTCCTGCCATGTCCCCTTTGCTCCTGCCCCTTACTCTGAAACCTTGTCTTTAAGGAAGGAAGTTATTCCTGCATTAGCTAGCGCTGGGATAACCCAGGTGACAGGTGAATGGAAGACTGGATGGAGGGCATTCGCTGACTGTTCTGGGGACATTTAAAAAGCTCAAAAATGCATGAGTGAGTCCTATAATGACGTATTTTTGTTGTTGTTGTGTTTTCAGATGAAGACGGTCAGTGTTGCCTTAGTTTTGTGCCTGAATGTTGGTGTGGACCCTCCTGATGTGGTGAAGACCACGCCCTGTGCACGTCTAGAGTGCTGGATCGGTAAGTGCCTGTCCTTCCTCATCCCTGCCACGAGGGCCTGTGGACAGCTCTGGGCTGGGCAGTGCTCAACAAATCCTTGTTCTGGAAGGGGGGCTGTCTGATGATTTTATTTCTTTTTGGAGTTGTATAGCCTTTAAGTAGCATTAGATGCATTCACCTATGATTTGTAGTAGAGAAAAAGTGTCTCAAGGAAAAGTAATAAAATAATTATTGGTTTATATAATTTTCTCCTTTAAATTTGCCCTTTGTCTGGCATAGAATAGATATTCACACTTCCAGAAAAAAAATGGAAGGACTGATACCTGCATGCATATATATTTATAGAAAAGATAGATTGAACCATTTCTAGCAAAACATTACATAATATATATATAATAATAGCCAGTATTTTTTGTGTGCTTATAGTGTGATAGGTACTATTTGAAGCAAGCACTTTTTGCTTATTAACGTATTTAATCCTCACAACAGCTCTATGTGGTAGGCTTTATTATTAACCTCTACTTAAGAACTGTGGAAAATGAGACATAGGGGTTAGTGATTTGCCCACAATTGTCCTGTAAGTAGCAGAGATGGGATTTGAATCTCCGCAGTCCAAGTCCAAGTCCAGAGACTGTTCATTTTTTAAAATTGTGACAGAACATACACGATATAAAATACCATTCTAGCCATTATTCAGTGTAAAATTCAGTGACATTAATTGCATTCACAATGTTTTTCAACCATCATCACATCTATCATCAGTATTTTTCCACCATCTTAAATGGAAACTCTGTTTATTGTACAACTCCTCATTCCCTCTTTCTCCTATCCCTGAGTTAACCCGATTCTACTGGGTCTCTATGAATTTGTCTACTCTAGAGGCCTCATTTAAGTTGAATCATAGAATATTTGTCCTTTTGTGTCTGGCTTTTATTAAGCATAATGTCCCCAAGGTTCATCCATGTTGTAGCATGTGTCAGAATTTAATTTCATTTTAAGATCAAAGAATGTTCTGTTGTATGAATAACACCACATATTGTTTATCCATTCATCTCTTGATGGACATTTAGGTTGATTTTTGCTTTTGGCCACTGTGAATAATGTTGCTTTGAACATGGCTATACAAGTATCTGTCCAAATGGTTTCTGGTTTTTGTTTTTGTTTTTTGAGTTGAAGTCTCACTCTGTCGCCCAGGCTGGAGCACAGTGGCACGCTCATGGCCACCACAACCTTGACCTGCTGGGCTCAGGTGATCCTTCTGCCTCAGCCTTCCAAGTAGCTGGTACTACAGCTGTGTGCCACCACACCTGGCTAATTTTTAAAAATTTATTGTAGAGATGAGGTCTCACCAAGTTGCCCAGGCTGGTCTCAAACCCCTGGGCTCAGACAGTCTTCTCACCTCAGCCTCCCAAAGTGCTGGGATCATTTCGAGCCACTGCACCTGGGTGATTCATCCTTACTTTTAATTATTTTGGATATAGACCTAGAATTGGAATTGCTGGATCACATGTTAATTCTATGCTTAACTTTTTGAGAAATCACCATATTGTTTTTCACAGTGGCTGTACCATTTTATATTCTCACCAGCAATGCACCAGAGATCCATTTTTTTCCACATTCTATTCTGGCCAACACTTGGCTATTTTCTGTTTTTTAAAAATTTAAAAAAATTTTACAGTGTTATCTTTATAGATGTGAAGTAGATCCCATTGTGGTTTGATTTGCATTTGCCTAATGATTTGTGATATTGAGCATCTTTGTATGAGCTTATTGACCATTTGTATATCTTCTCTGGAGAAATTTTGACTTAAATTCTTTGCCCTTTTTTTTTTTTGAGTTGGAGTCTCACTCTGTCGCCTAGACTGGAGTGCAGTGGCCGCTCCTGGCCACCGCAGCCTCGACCTGCTGGGCTCCGGCGATCCTTCCACCTCAGCCTTCCAAGTAGCTGGAACTACAGCCACGTGCTACCACGCCAGGCTAATTTTTTGATTTATTGTAGAGATGAGTTCTTGCCAAGTTGCCCAGGCGGGTCTCGAACCCGCGGGCTCAGGCTGCCCATTTTTGAATTGGGTTGTTTGTTTATTTTGTTGTTGAGTTATAGGAATTCTGTATATATTCTGGATATTACTATTGCTTTTTCTTTTGTTCTCAAGTTTATTGAAATATAATTTATATACAGTATAGTTCACCTTTTTTTTTTTTTTGAGATGGAGTCTCACTCTGTCACCCAGACTGGAGTGCAGTGGCCGCTCCCGGCCACTGCAGCCTTGACCTGCTGGGCTCCAGCGATCCTTCCGCCCCAGCCTTCCAAGTAGCAGGAACTACAGGCGAGCGCTACCACACCTGGCTAATTTTTTTGATTTATTGTAGAGATGAGGTCTCACCTGCCCAGGTGGGTCTCGAACCCGTGGGCTCAGCCTAATTCACCTTTTTAGGTATACATTTCTATGAGCTTTGGCAAATATATAGAGTCATGTGACAAATACCACAATCACTATATAGTACATTTCTGTCACACCAAGAAAGTTCCCTTGGTACCCTTTGTAATCAATCCCCTTCCTTTTCCTGAGCCCCAGACAACCACTGGTCTGATTTTTGAACTTACATTTTTTTTCTTTTGCAGAATGTCATTTAACTGGAGTCATATAGTTTGTAGCTTTTGTGTCTTACTTCTTTCTTTCTTTCTTTTTTTTTTTTTTTTTTTGAGTTGGAGTTTTACTCTATCACCCAGACTGGAGGGCAGTGGCACTCTCTTGGCCACCGCAGCCTCGACCTGCTGGGCTCCTGCAAACCTTCCGCCTCAGCCTTCCAAGTAGCCGGAATTACAGGCGCGCGCTACTGTGCCTGGCTAATTTTTGATTTATTGTAGAGATGAGGTCTTGCCAAGTTGCCCGGGCGGGTCTCGAACCTGCGGGCTCAGGCAATTCACTCATCTCGGCCTCCCAAAGCACGGATTACAGGCCGAGTCATCGAGCCCAACTTCTCTTCTTTCATTTGGCAAAATTCATTTGAGAGTCATCCATGTTGCTACATGTATTAGTAGTTTTTTTCCATTTATTCTATTTTGTGGATGTATCATAATTGTTTATCCATTTACCAGTTAATGAAGGTTTGTGTTGTTTGTAGTTTTGGGCAATTATGAATAAGTTTGCTATAAGCACTTGATCTTTGTGTGGACATATTTTCTTTTGGGTAAGTATTTAGGACTGGGTTTATAAGATCATATGTTAAGTAGGTGTTTAATTCTTTAAGAAACTGCCAAACTGTTTTTCATTGTACCATTTTGCGTTCCTACTAGCAATATATGAGATTTCAGTTGGTCTACATCCTCACTAACGCTTGGTATTGTCAGTTTTTAAAAGACAAAAAAAAAAAAAGTGTCTTGTATATTCACCATTTTGGGACCATACATTTCTTTGTATAGGCTCAACTTTCTATCAGGTATCATAATCCTTCTGCCTGAAGAACTTCCTTTAACATTTCTTATAGTGCTGGTTGGCAGGCAATGAATTTTTCCACATTTTTGTTTGGAAAAATTATTCATTTTGTCTTTGTTTTTAAATGATATTTTCTCTGGGTATAGAATTTTGTGTTGATGCTTTTCTTTTAGTACTGTACTTTAAAACTTATCTTCTGGCTAGCATAGTTTCTGATAAGAAGTCTGCTGTAATTCTTCTCATTGCATATTTTGTTTATTTTTTCTCTGGCAACTTTCAATAACTTTTTTCTACCTTTGCAGTCTTAGTAGTTTGTCTATGAAATATATGTATTTTTGTCTTTTTGGTTTTTCCAACTTATACTTTTTTTTCTTTAGGGGTCCTACTATATTGCCCAGGCTAGGGTGGGCTTGAACTCCTGGGTTCAGGCAATCTTCCTACCTCAGTTTCCCAAGTAGCTGGGACTATAGGAGCATACCATCATGCCTGTGGAACTTATTCTTTTTGGGTTTCTTTGAACTTCTTGAGTGTGTAGTTTCATGTCTTCGTTTTGAAAAATTCCCAGCTGTTTTCTTTTGAAATATTTCTTCTCCCTTGTTTTCTTCCTCTTGTTGGACTCAATTGTGTATGTGTCAGATTGCTTATGAACGTGTCAGCTCTTGGATGTGCTCTTCTGTTTGTTTTCTCCCATATTTCACTGAGCTTTTCCTCATTTGCATCCCAGTCTACTGCTAAAGCAGTTGAAGGAATTCTTTTTCTCAGATATTGGGTTTTTTATTTCTAGCTTTTTTATTGACTCTATATTTCACTTTCCAATAAAGGGGCTTTTTGTTGTTGTTGTTTTGAGAAAGCAGGATTTATTAAGAGGACAGAAAAGCTCCCACAGTGGGAGGGGACCCAAAGGAGTTGCCCTCTAATACATGTTGTTCACCTTTCCTTCTAGGTCCTCTGTTGCATTTATCATTGTTATTTTATAGGCCCTGACCTGTAGTTGAGAAATTTGGGTCATCTCTGCTGAGTCTGATTCTCCTGATTCCTTTTCTCTTGTCTGTAATTTGCTTTTCCTTGCTTTGTGTGCTTTATAAATTTGATTGTATATTGGACATTCTGGATAGAAAGACAATAGAGAATGAGATAAATCTTGTAGTCAGTAATCTAGTTGGTAGTTAACCCAAGTTGGATTTTGTTGTTGACATGGTCACACCTATCGTAGCAGATGCTTCAAGTTCTTAAAGTGATTAGTTGGTCCTTGTATATCAGTCAGAGTTCTCCAGAGAAACAGAAACAGTAGGAGGTGTGTGTGTACATATAAGTATGTGCATATGAATGCATGTATGTAAAAAGAAATTTATTTCAAGGCATTGGCTCATGTGATTGTGGGGGCTGGCAAGTCTGTAGTCTGTAGGGCAGGCTAGCAGGCTGGAACTTTAAAGTAGGAGCTGATGCTGCAGTCTTGAGGCAGAAATTTTTTTTCTCAGGAAAACCCATTTGGCTTTCAAGGCCTTTCAACTGATTGGATGAGGCACCTTCCATATTACCAAATAAAATCTCCTTTACTTCAGGTCAGCTGATTGTAGATGTTAA